ACTCACTCTCAGAAACCACACACACATTATAATCTACCTTTTTTCTATGTTCTTGGGCCACTGACACCAGGACAAACACCTCTCCAAAGGCACAAAGAGCAAGACCTATGGTGGTTCACACTCCCTAGGTTTACTCCTTACATTAATTTCTTCGGTTTCAGAGAGCGTATTTAAATAACTATCTTAGCATTGTAATAGAAATATTTTCATAAATCTAACTGGCCTCACACACCACAATTCACCAGCCCCATTAAGACATGAGGACAATTTTGGTCATACAATGACTTGCATGAAGATGTGGATACATTTCAATTTTTAACTATAATGCTAATACATAAGGCTACAAGCTCTGAGAATACCTGAATGATGCCCCTAATAATATATCGCTCAATATTTTTCATGTAAACACATTTTAAAACAACTTTTAATTACAGCTTCCTGTTCTTGGTTGCAGAACTTTGACTCAGATAAAGATTTCTCACTAAAATGTCAGCATTAAACTCAAACAACGGAAAAGATGCTTGTAAATCTTCGTGAAATCAAGCAATTTTACTTTGTCTTCCAAGACTTTGTACAACACATCAATAGTCAGTTCAATAAGCCTTGAATTTATACTAATCACACACCAAAAAAAAAAGTAACTCTCTAGCATCATATTTACTACAGCAATATTTACATTATGCCCCAGTTCAAGTAACAAAAGGCAGCTGCAAAAAAAAAAAAAAAAAAAAAAGATAAATCCTTGTGTACTGGAGCTGGATTTTTGAAGCACTTTAGGGGAAAAAAAAAAACCAAACACTGACATTCACACACACAGCAGTAAGGTCTACAGCCCAGAGCAGTCATCTCAGGAGAACAGCCAATGAGTTTCTGACACAAGGTTTACCTTATTTCAGAACCACACAGGAGAGCAAGTTGCCACCAACTGATCACATTTAAGACCTTAAACTACAGACAGACAGACAGAGTTCTTTTGCAGAAATGGGAAATACACAGGAACATTTTCTGGCTTCCCACTTGACGGGCACTCACTAAAGGTGTCCCCATTCCAATCTGTTTGAAGATTATTTATGGCTGAACAGGACAAAAGTGCAACCAGATTTTGAATACTTGCTTGGGTTTTTCTTTGCTACAAACTTCTTAGAGGATTCCTAAGGCTGCAGTAATGCTATGAGGGAGGACATTACTATGCACTGATGCCATCCTGAATCTAAGGCCTCTGAGCAGTTAAATTGTAACACTGCAGAAATTCAAACTACCAAGACTGAACACACAAGTTTTACTTACCAAACCACCTATATCATCTCTAGAACCTTAAAATTTAATTTACGATATCTACACATATAGGCCTATATACATGTTTGTGTGTACATTAAAAAACAGGCTAGTGACAGATCCTGGATTATGCCACTGAACAGAAATCCTGGTCACTGGAGTATAAATTCAGAGAAATAATTTACTTCAAATTAAAGATCGTAAAAAATCTGCAACTGCAGCCTCCTAGGCCTGTGCTCCTTGCATTATTACAAGTACTGCTTATACACAGCAGTTCCTCAAGAATTTGACAGGGGTATACTCAGTAGGGTAAGGGACCTCCACGGCACAATAGCTCACAGAACTGTAAGAGCTGTGACAGGGGGTCTACACAGCTTTTTACAAAGCATACTAGGCTCAGATTTAACACTGAAGTTCATCTTCATCTTGCACTTCGATAAGACATTGTCTAATCACCAGTAAAGCTGCCTGGCACGTAGAGCTAAGGACAGGGAGCTGAAAACAATGGCCTTCTGAGAAAGCTCTGTGACACTGGACTATGAACAGCCTACTGCATCCAGCACAAAGGGAACTGTCACCCCTACCAGTTACTGCCATTTTTAACACACTCTTAGTAGAACTGTTTATCTCCTGTCAAGGATACCTACTCCAGGTAGTTTAAATTTCCAGTAAGGGTCATATTGGGCTTCAAGTGCATCTTTTCTTTTTTTTTTTCTTTTTAAACCAAGTCCCAAAGTTATTCTTTATAGCTGTGTTTGTGTAACACAGGAGGTACTGTGCATTCAAATGATAGCAAGTTGAAATACAAAGATGTGAGACTTTCAACAAATAAAAAGGAATGCATTATTCTCTTCAGCTTCCAGTCTTCAAGGCACCTCCTGCATTAACTTCCTGGGAAATAAACAAGCAGACCAAAAGTTCACTGGAAAGAGAAGAATCCAATACACCTAACTTCCTCAGAAGCACACAGCATCAAAATGAGACAAGGCTGGACCCAAACTAACAACTAAAAGCAATATAA